CTACCTGGGATAAGCAGCTCCTATTGGTAGGATTCTGTGTGCATGTGTTAGTTTGTGGTTTTATCTCTAACCTGCTTGTGTGGCAAACTGGGTTCAGGTTCAGGTTCACCCGCTCTGATCTGAAGAGACACYCGTCAGATTGATACTAACTTTGATCCGGAGCGAGCATGATTGTGTTCAGAGTGATTATGAGGAGCTCATCAAACTAGATCACTGTAAAAATGCGTCACAAGGTTGAAACTATAACAAGGATAGAATCCACAAATACAGACGGCAGGTCCGAAATCAACGAGAATTTTTAATTTTAATTCTACATCCACCTGGAAAAAGTCTCAAAAATTGGGTCTAGACATTTTCCGTTCACTTCAGCAGGAAAATGTCCGGAACATTCAGGCGGGGGGGTGGCGGAGGCAGGACATGACGTAGGAATTCCACTGTGGAAAGATTGTTTTTGTTGACAGCACAGCGTCGGCCCTTTACACCAAAGTGCTCGAATCTCGTTGTTTTTCCAGGCTGACAAAGATGTCAGCATCTTCTACGTGTTCGGCTGCTCTGCTTCATCCAGTTTTGTGTCCGTCACGTTGTCAACACGCCGCCCGCTCGCTGTAAATCTTCCAAACAAAGAACTCCAGATTTCAGTGCATGTCTGAAACACGTTGGTTCCTGAAGTAGCTTCGTTGTTATAGTAGCTCAGGGAGGTGGCAGGTTTTAACAGTCACTAGTGCTTCGGTTTTCTGCTCCTGCTTTTTCTCAGCTGCTGGTTTGAATGTGGCGTTTCTCCAGCAGGTTGAAAGGATCCGCCCACTTTGAGTGCTGCGCAGGAGTGTTCTGTCTTCATCTTTCTGGCTCTGCTGGTGATGGGGTTTGACTGTCGAACGAAAAGAAACACAAGTGACTCATCTTGTTGCGTCTGTTTTGTTGTTTTCTAGGACCCGCCGCAAACCCAGAGGCAGAGGTCGCCCCCCCGCTGCCCGCCACCTCAGCCCTGGAGGAGATGGCCTTGTACAGCAACAAGCGCAAACTGAGGCAGGGACGCCGCAGCCTGGAAACCGCCGTGCCCACGTAACCCCCCCCTCACACACACCGAGAGAAGAAACCCGAACACACACGTTTCCATGCGCCGTGGAACACTGGCGAATCARGAAGGGCGCGGAGTCACTCAACACTACATGTGTCAGTAGAGCGAGATTCACTCTCACATATATAACCACTGCAGAGACTACAGAGCTTGATAGTTGCCACACATACACACTCACTTATATCCTGCGTGCCAGTCTTGCCTTTACAGTCTGGGTGAGTTGGCAAGTTGCTCAACGGTCCACGAGAAAGAGCTTGTGTGGTTAGCTAGGATCGCTACTTACAGACATTCTGTTTTTATTTTTATCCACGCTCTGCTCTAGTAGATCTATTTTAACAAGAGGTGACCGAAATATTTAGTTTTTGTTTTTTATCTGTCTCGCTCCATTGATTGTTTAAAAAAGAAAAAAAAGAAAAAAACTTACTGGAAGAGAAAAGAAATGGGTCATAGCTGTACTAATGATATTTTTAGGATTTCAGTGACTAGATTGTAAAACGTCGGGGGGGTGCTTGAGACGGGGGCGGACAGGAGTGTACATATTAACTGAGGGAACATCCTGCTACCTTCACGCTCGCTAGCTTTTAAAAAACAGACATATTGTTTTTGCACTGCCACTGATCAGCTTTTTAAGAAGAACATATCTTTACTAATTTATTCTTTTACTCAAATTGAAGGCCTTCTATTTTACACTGTTTTAACACATCCGGTCCTTTTGGGTTCAAGAGGATTCGTAATCTAACATTATACATTTCTCAGTAAGGAATTGCTTATTACTTTATAATTAAATCTACTTCATTAACACTTTGATTCGAGCATATCTGCAGCTTTACAAAGCTTGGATGAAATCTAGCATCATGACATTGTCGTTGTTATCACAGATTTCAAAATAAAGCATCTGTTTAGTTGTTTATTCTGTGTTTACATTCCCCCTGTAAAGAATATGACAACATGCTGGAGGTCCCAGCCGTTACTCAAAACACAATACAAACACAAATATTGAATATCAACGTTTTGGAACATGCATCATTTACTAATTATCGGTACTTACCCTGCCTTACCCTCACCCCTATTTTTTTTTTTTTTTTAATCAATGTGAATCATTAGTTTCTACCTTGTTGTATCTGGAGGTGTTCCAGAGTGCCGTGAAGGTAGCAGGTGTTTTTTTTCTGTCTATGGTTAATTTAAATCTGATGCCACTGAGAAAAAAAAATCATTTATGGTTGTGTGAATAATGTACAAATACTGAAAGGAAAAAAGCAAACTTTGGGTTTGAAACTGAGCCGGTTTGAACGGGCTCGGTGTCGGGACGCTCTCTGCATGTATATTGACTCGTTGATGGGAGAGGCAGAGCCGATGAGGAATTCCTCTCGAGATATTGATGACATTCAGCTCACTGCTTGACGTTCTGTCGGTTTAGGAATCTGACGGGTATTTTTGCAGAATCACCGCATTGTAGCATTTGTGTTAATTTAATGTAGGGTCTTCTAATTCTAGCTTTCCGTGTTGCTCTCACTGACTGAAATTCAGTTTGTTTGATAACATTTTCAATGGCTGATCTCTTTTTTTTTAAACTTACAGTAGATGCATCTTTTTTTTTTTCAGGTGGGTTTCACTACATTATTCATGCAGTGTTTCAAGTTTGTGTTCATTCTTTTGTCTTGAGTTCTGTTTGGGGGCTTTTACTTGCAAATAGGTTTGAGGGATTGGGTCAGACGTCCTGGGGTCGAGGGTTAGAGCTCATACAAGACTGTAACTAGTGAATTTGTACAACCAAAGAAGTCTATTTTGTCGTTCAGGAATAATAAATTTTACTTTTCATTTAAGAAGCTGATTTGTGGTGCAGTGTCTTTTGTTTGTGATTCATGTCTTGTGGTTTTAAAAGCTACAGTGTTTCCTTTAAGATGAATTTGTGGAGTGCTTGCTAAATGACGTCCGTGTGTAAATCAACAATTTCTCGAGGTCAGCAAACTTATATGTTTATATATTTATATATTCCCTGTTTATATAACGTATGATGAGTTAATATAGTAATAATTGCAGTAACAGTAACATCAACACATCCCGTGGCGTCATTCATTTACTGTAGTTTGAACATGGAACTCACTTAAGTAGCAGGTTGAGTTGAAGGGAGACTCCTGTCACTGAACCTTGCAGAAGAGTTCCTCTGAGCCCTGACGATTCTCTGCAGGGGGAGAAATCAATTTACTGTGAGTGACAATATCTGATTCATTTCAAAATCAGGGAAAATAACAATCGAGAAGTTGGAAGACACACGAACCCTTTTCTGCGTCCGCTGGTGAGCGTTGTAGAAGGACTGAGCACTGGGGCACTGCTCCTTATTGTTAATCTGGATGTGAGGGAAGTTTAGAATGACACGTTACTGAATTTGACCCAAAAAACATTTACTGGAAGGTCGTGTTCCTCAATGTAGCACTTAGTTTAATTCATGGAGAACAGACTCACCAGTTCAAGTCTCTTCACAGATGAATCCAGCTCCTCCTCAGGTAACAGGAAAGTCTTCTCATACCACGTTTCAAATTCTGTGAWGCACATGGAGAATTCATTATTTTATATCAATTATCTTGGAGGCAGTGTGTTCAAAACTATTCATGAGCAGAAGACTTGAGGACTGACCGGCGACGAGGCGCGCCCCGCACTGATCCACCAGATGTTCACAGTAGTTGACCTCTTCCTTGATGTCGAGCAGCGCCTTGTGCCTCTGTTGATACAGAGTCTTCAGCTCACTGAGCTGCAGCACTAATTCGGCTTCTTCCTCATCATCATCATCATCTTACAAAAAAACACATTAAAAATGTAAAAACCTATGATGCGTGTGTCAGGTCCTTCAATTATATAAACTCTCTCAAACTCTTTACACTTCAAAATACAAGATGTTTCCACAAAAACAACAACGTCCATTAAGAGCAACAAAGCTCAAAGCCTCGATCACGAATATGAACATGACAAATACCTGGAGCCGCTCTCATCTGCTTGCGTTGCTGTATGGTAAACATCACACCCTCGATCGCTCTCTTGACAGCCTTGACCTTCTCGGTGAGCTGAAGGAGGAGACTGTGGCGTTCCAGCAGCACTGCCTTGTTGTCCCTCAGGATGCCGTTGATCTGGCTGCCTCGTCCCAACTTAAAATTCTCAAAGGCTTTTGATTTATGTGAAGGAGACCTGGACAAAGACGGAGAACTTATCAATAAAGATAAATAGTAAAGATAAATAAATAAATAACCGTGTTCTTTCTGTTTATAAGATGATCAATATCTGCGCTCACAGAAATGACTACATGTACATTAGTTACATCCACTTACTCAGATTCAGGTGGCTGTGACTTCTGAGTGTCGGGGTTCTCATCGTCTGGTTCCGGTGACTCGAGTTCTGCATCAGACGTCTGGACAGAACTCATCTTCCTGGAGGAACTCTCGCTACGCGGCCTTGGAGATGGACTCCCTTCTCCCAGCGTCGTGCTTTGGTTGAATTGAAACCCAAACTTATGCATTAAACTCAGTCCATTCATGAACGACATCAGGCAAATGTTGCTACGATTACATAGAAGATCAAGGTCAACAAAAGTTTTATTTATCCCTGAGAGAAGTGCAGAGGAGGTAAAATCAGTGGCGACCCCCCATGGACATCAACTATAAGTACAATTTACTGGTCACTGCAGTTTTCATCTGTCTGTTTGCAGGATGACACAAAAACTACTCGATCTTTATTTACCTGTGTTTGTCTCTGGACTTCTTCCTTCTGGACGTGACCTTACTTGGACGCTGAGTCTGTTTCTGAGTAGACGCCCCAATGCTGCCGGCCTCCGCATCCTGTCTTCTGTCCGACTCCTACAAAAGCACCATGGAATCAAAGCTCAGTCACAGTGAGTTGTTCTGGAAACAGACAGAGCAGCAACATGTCCTGCACAGATGTTGACTGACCTTGACGGGACCTTGGTCTTTCTTCATCAAGCTGCAGGTGTCGCATGTCTGAGCCTTCTGCTCCTGTTTCCTGCTCACAGACAAACATTCGATTAACTCGCCCATTACAAATAAAGCATCGTTCCAAAATGTTCTCCTGTATTTTTAAAGATTTCAATGGGAGGTTAATACTCACTGCACAGCAAGTTTAAACTGGGCAAATACTCCTTGGACCTGCTTGATACTTATGACCTGTAATTCAAAGTCACGCACAGAGAAATTAAAAGGCTGAACTCCGGGTCTAACTGGAATTAAAGTGATAATATTTGAATCTTAATGTTTTTACATTGATTTCCTTTAGGCTTCCGTCAAGGTAGCTCTGAACCTGACTGCTGATGTCAGCCAACTGGGCTTCGGACAGCGGCTCATACTTGACATCCGGCCTCATCGCCTGGTGAAAGGAGGAGGCCAGTTATTGTTGTGCCCACAGTGAACCAGGGATATAATGAAACATGTGTTGGCTCATTATTTTCCACTTGGCTTCACTCACCAGAGTATTATGGATAGCCAGCTCCTCTTTCAGCACCTGCACCTCCCTCTCAAGTTTCTTGATCTGGAGCTAATCACGACAGAGAAATGAATCAGATCACATATTTGTACGCGTATATAATTACGTATAAGTGCACGTTTGTTGAATGAACTCACAACTGGATCCATTTGTTCATTAATAGCAGGTTCGGTCTGGACGTTTTTCATTCGACTTGCAAAACGCAAAGTAGAAATCTGCAAAGAATAGAAAAGATCATCCAGAGGTGAAATGAGGGCATGTGTGATCTTATACTTTGTGTATACTAAATAATCCAGCCCTTACGGTTTCGTCTATATGTTTAGCTTCTCCGTAGATGTTGGCCACAAGCACAGTGTTGCAGTTCCCTCCTAAAGAAACAAACATTATTGTAACACCACAGAAGAAGACTGTTGTTAACAGCCTGAACATGTGCTCGTCTCACCCAGCGAATCTTTGAGGACATATGTGAGTTTGGTCTGTCTGAAGGGAACGTGGTCTCTGCGGCGGTCTGCCAGGGCCAGGATGGCCTGCTCCAGGAATGACAAGGACTTGTTGATGTACGTGGCTTCTTTAAACATCTGACCCTCTGACTGGAAGAGCGGGTACGTGAAATACAGTGGGGGAGGAAAAGTAAAGAGAAATGTGAAATGATGAAAGATAAAAATCTAAATGATTTAACTGAGCAGTTAGGCTTCATTATTCCTGCAGACTCACCCCGGTCTTTCCCACTCTCTCCGACCCAGCTAGATCCACCAGACTCAGCTTGGAGGTGATGTATTTGGCCTCACATAAAGTCCGCGAGCGAGACTGACGAAGGAAGACGTGTTTACAATTAAGGCTGACTTCCTAACAAGTGGTGAATGTCTGAGTATCAAGTGAACGACTCACCTCTATGTGAATATTGAAGATACAGTGGGACCTGGAGGAGTTTCTGTTCAGGCTATTAGATCCAGTGATGCAGTTCATCTTACCCTGAGTAAAGACAGAGCGATGCTTCAATCAGTTCATCCATAAACGTGTGAAAGCTACATCACTTTCATCAAAGTCAAACACTGACTTTAAAACAATATACAACGTCACTCTCGTGCACTTTATCAGGAACACCGTACTAATAGCTTGAACCTGTGTCCACTGAAGCATCAGATTTCGGATCTTGGCCGACAGGAGTGGAACCCGACGCGGTTTTCAACTGTTGTAACCCAAGCGCCTTAAAGATCCACGTGTTGTGCATCCTGAGATATCGTTCTGCTCGACACAGGTGTAAAGAGAGGCTGGTCTGAGCTACCGGGACCGTTCAGCTCTCATCAACATTGTGTTTCTCTGTGTCAGAAATCCTCAAACTAGCACAAATGGCGTCACATTATAATGAAGTCAGAACTCTCTGAGCATTAACACGAGCTCCTGGCCTGAATCATTCGATTTGCTGATTGGATAAAGAATGAATGTAGATGTACTGGTGTTCCCCATAAAGTGCTTGGTAAGAGAGTATTTGACAGAACAAGGTTGAAAGAGGTTTTCTTTTTTTAGGCCAGAAAGTATTGACACACCTCAAAGAACAGGTCAAGTGCATCTTCCTCGGTCAACACTGGGTGAACAGACAGACCTCTGATCAACACTCCTCGTCCCGGCTCCTCCAGCACCACTATGCCCTGAGGAGACGGAGGGGACGAGTCCTGCACTTGTGACAGCAGGTCAAACAGCGTCTCATTGTAGATCTCCATGAAAGACACGTGCACTGAGAAGGACGAGTCAGTCCTCTTCTTCATGTCCTGAAACACCTGAGCACAGTGTCAGAGGTTAAAGGAAAGGTTTCAAGTGGAGCGGTCAGAGTTTCCCAAGATAAGAGTTACCTGTTGAAGAGCTCGAGGAATGAATCCTCGCTGCTGGTAGGATTTTGTGGACCCTGTCAGGGTGTAGGTTTTTCCTGCACCTGTCTGCCCAAAGCACATCACAGTACCTGGCGAAAACACAAGACCACTATCAAGACTATCCACTTATTTACTGGAAGTTAAATAAGGAAAATCTCTGACGCAAACAAAATCTAGGGAATACTGGTTATTTTATTGTCACGAGAAATGTGTTGATGAGATCTACCATTATAACCGTCCAATGCTCCCTGCACCACCGGGCGACACACTCTGTCATACATCTCCTCCTGGGACACGTTATCCAGGACCCCTTTAAGGCGGAATGACCAGGAGTTCTGTGGGCCTCTTTTAGGCTCCTGCATCTTTCTGACGTCTCTTCTGTGATAGATGTTCAGAGTCTGAGGGCCAAGACACAAACAAGTTATTATTAGTTTACGTTACCAAACAGAGAATTTGTTGTTAAGCAGAAAAAAGAAATGCAATCACTGGAATAAATCACCCAACAAGATGCCATCTGAGTTAGACTAAATATTGATGAGATCAATTTTGAGATTAACATTTAAAATTAAATTTCTGCCTGACTCTTATTTTTGAGAT